CTTGTGACGATCCGGCTTAAAGGGTGGGAAGTTTTGTGAAACTGACTCAGCCGGATTCTTCCTGAAGTGAAGCTATGCAGGCCCAGCCAGGATGGGTGCCAAGGTGGCATCCTCATTGAATAGAGGGCTGAGGGGCCTAAGAAACACGTGGTCAAGGAGAGAGACTTTGTCATGCCAAAGCTTAGGATGGCGACTTTATGAAGCGTAAGCTTGAGATCCAGGCTGTCCTCCTCAAGCTACAAAGAACTGTCAGGTACCAGGAGCCCGAGGCCTGGCAACACTGCTGGGTTGAAGGACTTCCATCCAAGGACCTCCCAATGACCCCTCACTGCTGTGCTGATCATTTTTTTCTGACCTCTAACCCTTTACCTAAATGATTTTGAATTTGTCCAAACAGGCCGAGATGCCCTTTGAGCTGACCCTCTTTTTGTCCTCTTCCCCTCCTCCTCCCCCCACCATGCCTGAATTCAGACCTCTAGCCCTTGGGTCTGTTATCTGACCAAGATGTCCCGTCAATCTTAAATGGCTGTCATGTTTTAACATCCATTTCTGCTGCTTTCTGCACACTTTCGAATTTCCCCTCTGCTTTCCCTGGAAATGTGATGCTTGACTTGGACACATTCAACCCTCTCTCCTTACAGAGACAGCTGCTGAACGAATGCTAGAAATTTAAATTCTGCTTTTAGCTTAGGGTTCTCTGCCTTCTTTAAAAAACTACATGGGCACAGGGAGGGGAACATCACACACTGGGGTATATTGGGGAATGGGGGGCTAGGAGAGGGACAGCAGGAAGGGGGACGGGAAGGTTGGGGAGGGATAACACTGGGAGAAATGCCTGATGTAGGTGACAGGGGGATGGAGACAGCAAACCACCATGGCCTGTGTGTATCTATGAACAATCCTGCAAGATTTGCACATGTGCCCCAGAACTTAAAGTACAATAAAAAACTCACCTTTTTTTTCTTTAATCCTTTGACTTGTAGTAGAAATATTGATTTTAAGTAAGAAGCTTCCAAAATAGTTACATTTAAAAATAATATTCCTTTTATACATTTGTTATGAAAAGGCACTAAAAATGCAAAATTCCTCTGGTTTAAACCTATTGGTGACTCAAACAACTTTCCCGAAGGGAATTTACTTTCTTTAAAGTAGATCATATGCAATATAATGTCCCTTGACAAATCAGGGGACATTAAACGTCAATGAGGGCTCTGTTCGTGTTTGGTTCCTCCTAGTCCGTGTGCTGAGTGCTCAGCACACATACTTTACTGAAGTCTCCCAGCGACTGTCCATGGTCCTATTTACAGAGAAGGAGGAATCGGGGACTCTGAGATGGGATTAACATGCTCACCATCGCCTAGCATGTAAGAGGGGCCCCATTCCCAGTGAGGCTGAGCATTCCCAAGGCAGCTACTAACACCATCCTCTGCTATTGGGAAGTTTTGATGTACCCAGAGGATTCTGGAAGCTGGGATTGGGAGAATGGGTAGATCTCAGAAATCACCAAGTCCGGTGGTCTTCAAACTGTGCCTCACAGAATGATCTAATGGCTTCCACATGTGGATTTTACGCAAGAGGGTCATCAGGACAAAAGAATGTAAAAACAACTGACTTTTCCCAACATACACTTTCCTGATGGGAAAACTGAAATTTTGAAAGGCCACTTCAGGTTGGCTGGGCACGGTGGCTGACACCTGTAATCTCAGCACTTTGGGAAGCCTAGGCAGGTGAATCACCTGAGCTCAGGAGTTTGAGACCAGCCTGATCAACATAGAGAAATCGCGTCTCTACTAAAAATATAAAATTAGCCGGGCATGGTGGTGCATGCCTGTAATCTTAGCTGCTCAGGAGGCTGAGGGAGGAGAATCACTTGACCCTGTAAGGTGGAGATTGTGGTGAGCTGAGATCTTGCCACTGCACTCCAGCCTGGGCAACAGAGTAAAACTCCATCTCAAAAAAAAAAAAAAAAAAAAAAAAAAAAAGGTTCAGGTCACAGCCAAACAGCTGTGAAGTGAGATTTTTTTCAGTCCAAGCTTCTTGCTACCACACTGGGATGGCAAGTCAGTCATTAAAATATGGATAGATAATACCAGTTTAATTTCCGTCAATTACTTTTTTTTTTTCCTATGGAGTTTCGATCTTGTTACCCAGGCTGGAGTGTAATGGCACGATCTCGGCTCACCGCAACCTCTGCCTCCTGGGTTCAAGCAATTCTCCTGCCTCAGCCTCCTGAGTAGCTGGGATTACAGGCATGTGCCACCATGCCCAGCTAATTTTTTGTATTTTTAGTAGAGACCGGATTTCACCATGTTGACCAGGATGGTCTTGATCTCTTGACCTCGTGATCCACCTGCCTCGGCCTCCCAAAGTGCTGGAATTACAGGCATGAGCCACCGCGCCCGGTCATAATTTCCATCAATTACTCTTTCAGTTTCTTTGAGCTTCTGTTAAAAAGGTGTAAGCATTGGAAACATGCTTAGCACTTTGGACAACAGCAGAATTGCCTGCAGCAGCCACTGACCCTGCAGCTGTGAAAGTGCACACGTCTCAGGACCAGGCAACAGAAGGGCTAATGGTGGCTGATACCATAGGACGACTTGTAGACCTGCCGCTGTGGCAGGAACTGCTCAATTGCTGAGTTAAACAAAGGTAAACCATTTTGTTCATAGCAAGATTTCTTAGAATTCTTCATTTGCTAATTTACATCATGAATCTTTTAAAAGGAAGAAAAAGTATTCATTGTTTCTCTAAGTTATTTGACCAAGAAACCCTGTTTTTCAAGTCAAATTCCTGGGAATTTGTTGATTTGTTAATTTCCTGGGCTAAAGGAGCTGGCAGGTGAACATAAAAATCCCAAGTTCATCACTAAAAATTAAAATGAAATGCAAAGTAAAATGCTGCTCTGACCAACGACAAAAAAAAAATGGAACTTTTCAAAGAGTTTTGCTGAAAAGCAAGAAATCACTGTGGAGAGGAACTAGGGGGAGAGGTAAATGCCAAGATGATCAGAAACAGCTATATTTTGCATGAGGATGTTGGAACAAATTCAACAGCACTAATTGGCCCTGGATGCGAACAGGTAGCCAGGGCCATGGGATGGGGCACAGGCACAGAGGGCTTCTCGTTCCTGAATGGAAAAGCATAGCTTCCGAGGTTGAGCTGCCACAAGCTCCGCTGGAGATGTGGAATGACCCATGCTCCCCTCTGCTTTTCCTAGTGTCTCTCCGTCCAGCCGCATCTATTGTAAAGATTCTTATTCATCTTGGTGTTACTTAGGATAGAGGAGTGAGTAGATTCCATCCTAAAGATGTTTCTTTGGGACAATTCTTGGAGACAGGTAAACAAGCCGGGGCTGGAAAATGTGAGCGAGAAGTCGGGGCCATTCCCCTCTCCTCAGTGAGAGCAGAGGATGCTGTGGGGCCCCATTACCTGCGTGAGCAACCACACTTTTTTCTGTTCCTATCCCTCCTCCCCTCTGCAGGAATTTGCCCAATTCCAAATATGCCTCAAACTCATACTGAAAATCAGTCCTACTGGAAGAACTAGTGAGAGTGGTAAATGAGTGACTCTTCACAAAGTAATTTTCACTCTCATAAAAAATGTCCACAAACCATAAATCCTGTCAGACTTACAAAGGAGCAAATCTAATGTCAGAATTTCACTCACGGAAACTGTCTTTCAGGTGAAAGGACTGAGTGATTTGGGGACAAGCAGTCTTCTACAGGCCTCTTCTCAGGGTCACCCCACTGCCAAGAAGAGCCCTCATCCGTGTGAGCGTAACAGCAGGTGCACCTGTACTAGGGAGGGTCTCCATGGACGACCGTCTTGCCCCGCTGCTGCGGAAGCCTTTTCAGGTTTGACACATCAACAGCCTTGCTCTGCTCTTGGCAGCAAATGCCAAATGCCAGCTTCTGTGAGTGTCCTTGTGGGCACAGTGGCTCTCACACTACAGGGGGGAAGTGCTGTGTCCTAAGGTCATCAGGAACATTTATTCCTCCCAGCCTTCTCTTCACAGGGTGCCAGATTGCTGTCACCCCCAATGCCAACAACACCCAGGGAAGGGCTTCCTTCGCCCCAGGCTGCAGTCCTACACAGACTTTGGAGAGTGATCGAGTTGAACCCATTCTCTCAGCCCTGCCCTTAAAGGAAGGTGCGGCTTCCAAATGGGAGCAGCTTATCCTCTTGATTTTGCCACATGTATAAATGAAAGAGGAGACATTTTGTGTCTCCTGTGGCTGGAATCTGCCATAGTGAGCTTCCCTGGGAGTGCTGGGCTTTGTCTGGATGTCTCACTTACAGTGGCCCTTCACATTCTCTTCAATCTTTTCATTACTTTATTCGTCTGCTCCACTCCTTCAGCTGCTCAGACAGCACACGTTAGAGCTATCCTCTCTTTCTCTCTGTTTCACCCACATCTAATCCATAGCGAATTCTGTGTGTTTAACCTTCATAATGTATCCATGATCTGGCCACTTCTCATCATCTCTACGGTGACTACTGTGGTCCTAGCCACTGTCATTTCCTGCCAAGATGATGTCCACAGCCTCCTATTTGCTATCTAGAGAAGCTGTTACCCCCATAGCCTAAGCAGAGCATTCAGGTCGTGCTGTTCTCTGCCCCTCGTGCTCCGTGGTGCCCACCTTCCAGTCTGCATTACAGCTGCAGGGCCCCTGATGCTTCTGAGGGTGCATCTCTATCGACATCCTCCCTGGCTCTGCCTCTTTGTACTTCCTCTTCTCTCTGATTTTTGGAATGTTTTCCTCCGGTGTTCAGTTTGTAGAAGACCTTCCTCAAATGTCATTTCCTCTTTGAGGTCTTCTTTGCTGCACCCAGACGGTTTTATCTAAAATCAGCCCCTCTGCCCAGCAACGGCTCCATCCTCCTTCTGCTCATTCTGGCCCAGCACTTACCTCCTGAGACATTCCCATTCTTTATCTACATTTGACTTTGCCTGTCACAATGTCAACCGCAGAACAGTAAGGATTTCCATGTGCCTGGTACTGGCCTGGCCTCACTGCCCAGGAGAGGAGGCAATGGGTGACAGGCACTCAGAGAGTATTCGTCAACTGGCTGGTTGGATGAAACCCGAACTCCCTGAGCATTCCATGGGTGCTGGCTCTGAAATTCCTGTGCTGTCCTCTCAGGTTCCCTTGGTGAGAGGCCTCCACATGAACACACGCTGATCCCTTGCCCTTGACAGTGGTGAGCTGGCTTCATTCACCGGGAGGAATCCCTCACTCTTTCACGGTCCTTCCAGTGATTGAAAGCAGCCATCAGGAGCACTTCATCTTCTGTGGAAGCAATTTTATCAATATAAATCTCCATCATTATCAGGGGAAGACATTAAGAGGAAGACATTCTGTTTCCTGAATTACCCAGGATTAGATTAACAAAGTTCATTTATTATTAAACTAAGGTACTGTTAGAACACGCTCCCACGCTACAGGGTCTAGTTATGGAGTACTAAATGATTCAACACGATCATTAACCCCTGCATGCTTTAAAACATTTGAGCCAAAATCACTGTGAAACCTGCTGCAGATAAATACAAGAGGGGTATGAACACTGTCCATTTCAAACATTAAATTTGATAACTTTCTAAAGCAAATGTCAGATATTGAGGGGAAATCTACAGAAAACTCCTGAAAGTGCTGAAAGGCAGTTGTATTTCTTTGCCTTCAATGAATAAACATGTGGCGATAGCCCATCAGGAAAGGGAAGAGCCCGTCCTATATCCCTCTCATCATGCAAGATTGTAGACCACTCTCCGCTGTGCCAATTCATTTCGCCAGCTGCAGTGCCCCTGTCTCGAGTATCTAAGAAACAGCAATGTGTTTAGTAACGCCTGCCCTGTCACAGAAGTACAGTGAAGTTACCCTTATATGATTAGCAAAGACCACTTATTCTAAAAGGAGGGAATATTGCTGGGCTAGAAAGGGGAGTGGCCATTTAGCTGTGGGCCTGGATGGCACGCACTAAAGGGATGTTAGCGGTGAGATCACTCCGCAGACACAGAAAGTGTGGTGTTCCAACTCGAAGAGAATCAACCCTACCAACATAGCAGAGTATGTATCTTACGTGTCATCGCACCTTGTCACAAAAGGTTTCAGCGAAAAGAACTGTGCCCACTTCTCCTGTCCTTCACTTCTCTGATTTCACACCACATGGGACCGCATCATTATCTAAACCTACACCAACATAAAGCACATGTCCTAGACCCACACCAGCATAAACCACACCTATGCAAACCTAAATATACATAAGAAATGAAAGTTGCAAATTCACTTTTATTTGAAATACGACAACTCCAAGGGAGAAAAATCTAATCTCTCAACTCAACGTTTAAAAAATTCCCAAAGCACTGAATTTGGTGACAGATTGGTGTGTCTAGCCACATCCTTGGACTGAGTGAAAATGATCTCACAATAGCCCCATAGCATCCTTTGGGGTCGGATGCAGCTGCACAAAGAGAACGTGGCTAGCACTGGGCAGCTTGAATACAGAAGGGGCTGGACTGATTCAGAAATCATTGATGTCAAGAGAGCCTTTAAAATATTTCCTTTTACAGGAATAAGTCCACATATTTACAGCCAAAAGATTTTCAGCAAAAGTGCCAAGAACATGCATTGAGGAAAGGGCAGTCTCTTCAATAAAAGGTGCTAGGAAACAGGATATCCATATGCAGAAGAATGAAATTAGACCCCTTTCTCCCACCATATTTAAAAATGGACTCAACATGGATTAAAGACTTAAGTGTAAAACCCAGAACTGTAAAACTACTAGAAGAAAACACTTCAGGACATTGGCTTAGGCAAAGCTTTTATGGTTCAGACTTCAAAAGCAGAGGCAACAAAAACAAAAAATAAACAAAGATGACTATATCAAAAAAGAAAAGAATCAACAGAGTAAAGAGACAACCCACTGGATGGGAGAAAAGTTATGCAAACTGTTCATCTGACAAGGAACCAACATTCAAAATACACAAGGAACTCAACCCAGTAGTGCTAGATGTAGTGAACCCCAAGTTTCTCTTCAAAGAATCAGTGTGTCAGTATGTTCAGCTCTCTTATTCTTTAATCCTCCATTTTAAAGTTTAACTTTCTTGTACTTTCAGTAAACAATGTTTTTAAAAAAAATATATTTCCTTTTATCATTGATGATTTACTATTCTGACACAGTGATCGGTTCACTGGAAAATGGGGTTCTTAAAAGATTACACAAATTTGGAAGGGCTTTCAGGAATAACAAACCAATAAAAAAACAGATCGTCATTCTTTGTGGAAAAACATCCAGGAGACTGTAGGGAAAGGTAAGAAGGAGAGTGATTTATTCTCCTACCTCCAGGGCTTGGCAGGCAGTTTTTGGTTTTGCTAAATCACATGGAAAGAAGAATTTTATTTTAGGCTGCAGAAGAGGAGCTGGAGCGACACTCCCAAGAAAAGCTGAGAAAAAAACAGTAAATAAATAAGTAGGTGAATAAGTAACACATTTTTTTGAATGAAGAAAATCTGCTTGAAGGCATTGGGGACTTCCAAAGCAGCCAGGACTTGAGAGACCAAGACCCAAGAAAGGCAGGAAAGAAGGGAGGAAGAAAGGGACAAAGAAAGAAGGATAAGGAGGAAGAGAGGGCAGGAGAGAGGGAGACAGAGAGAGAGAGACAGACAGACAGACAGAGAGAGAGAGCAGAGACAGAGAACACTTGCAGAGATAGTCACTAATTCCATGCACTTCTGTTTCCCTAAAGGTTTTTGCGAACTCAGGGCTAGAGGTAGAGAAACCAAGTAATTCTGAGCAGAAAGCCCAAAGCAGAGATTTGTGACTTCTCGCAGTACTTGGAAGAAAACAAACACAAATAGAACCATCATTGGGATCCACTGAGGTGGTTGGAATTTGCAGGACCCTGGATTTTTCTCAAGGCATTTACTGATCTTTACACAGATCAGAGCTGGGCACACACAGAAAGAAGCAATAAAGGCAAACAGGTCTTTGTCTTCCTCCTGGTGCTCTGGACACCAACTTAGAGTTCAGGACCCAAGGAAGCAGAGTGGCCATGATCCCTCCCAAGCTCTTGATGGGACCCCCAAAGAACGGCCCCCAGGAACGGGGTGCAGCTGTCTTCCAAAAGGTGAGGCAGCCTCAAGTCAGAGATGCCCATGATGCTCACCCTTGGACTCAGCTTCCCACCCTTATTCTGACTTTGCTTCCAAAAAATAGAGTGACTCTCCTCCAGAAGATGATCCCCTCAGAGCTTCTGGATTTTTTTTTTTTTTTGGCAAAAAAAATGTTTATTCTTCTATCAAAAGAAAAAACACCGGGCTTATAAAAAAATGGTATTAATAGAGAAAACCTACAACAAAACTGGCACCACAAATTATCAGGTAAATACATCAGTGCCCAGCGTGGAAAGCAAGACTCCAGCTTCTGCAGATGGCCCCGGGCTGTGAGCCTGCTGAAGCCAGGTGGCAGGTCCCCGAGCTTCAGTTCCGACTGTCGGTGTGAACTGACCAGGCCTCTAGAATTTCAGGTGGGACCGCCCTTGTATGTGGGGTGTAGATGACCAGGTAGCTGTAACACAGTGTCTAACTAGTTGCTAAAATGGTTTGCCAGCCTCTCACAAGGTTAAAAATATTTCTATTCTTGGGCCGGGCGTGGTGGTTCAAGCCTCTAATCCCAGCACTTTGGGAGGCCGAGGCGGGTGGATCATGAGGTCAAGAGATCGAGACCATCCTGGTCAACATGGTGAAACCCCGTTTCTACTAAAAATACAAAAAATTAGCTGGGCATGGTGGTGCATGCCTGTAATCGCAACTACTCAGGAGGCTGAGGCAGGAGAATTGCCTGAACCCAGGAGGTGGAGGTTGCGGTGAGCCGAGATCGCGCCATTGCACTCCAGCCTGGGTAACAAGAGCGAAACTCCATCTCAAAAAAAAAAAAGAGAGCTACTGAATAAATCATAATATCAGTTTAACTGCCTCACAGGTAAAATTCATGAAGCCTTTGTCCAATTTGTACACACGTTTTTCCTGGGACATTAACCACATAACTTCTTGTATACGTTAAAGATGAATGCTCCTGAAAAATCTCAAATTGTCTGTTTTTTAAATTCCTATAGTGCCCACCCTTTTAATTAACTAATAAGTAATCTGAGCATGAAACAGCATCCTCTGACCAGAGGTAGGAAAGGAAAGATGGTAGCAATGCATCCACACTACCACCACAAATGTGAGAAGCTCGACCTTCTTTGAGTTTGTCACATGTATTTACAAGTTCGCATCTGGGTACCATCCTTTCTTAAGATAAACATTTAAATAAGTAAATACAAATAACTGTAACTGCCCTTCTGTTAAGCATTATGCGATACTAGGATTTTTATATTTTTGAAACTCCAGAAAGGCAAGAGCTATCTTATTCACAGTGCTCACTTTTTATCTACAAAAAGCCTGGCCTAAATTGAGGGCTCAATACAGGTTTGAGGTGCCAATTAAAACCTGAGGACCAAGACCATTTGGGTATCTGAGAACTCACCTTGACCCGTACAACAGAGGTGTCATCAGGCTGTCATTGAAATGCTTTCTTTCATTTAATAGAAAAGGCATTTTTTCATATCTCCTGAAACAATATTTTACAGTATATTAAAAATAGATATAGATATAGGTTTACAGCTGATTCTTGAAAAACAAGATGGTAGGAGTTGTAATCACTCCCCTGCATAATCAGAGATACAACTTTCAAATCCACAAAGACGTAACTGCTAATAGCTATTGTTGACCCAAAGGCTTTTCGACAGCATGAACAGTTGATTAATATATATTTTGTAATATGTGTGTATGTATATATAGATATAATAGTATACTCTTACAATAAGGTAAGCTAGAGAAAAGAAAACGTTACTCAGACAATCACAAGGAAGGGAAATACATTTACTATTCATTAAGTGAAAGTGGGTTCTCATAAAGGTCTTCACCCTTGTGGTCTTCACATTGAGTGGGCAGAGGAGGAGGAAGAAGAGGAAGGGGAGAGGTTGTTCTTGCTGCCTCAGGGGTGACAGAGGCAGAAGAAAGTCCACGTATAAGTTGACCTGCATATTTCAAACCATGTTGGTCAAGGGTCTACTGTAGTATATATGTGCATTACATGTACAACTGTTCAAGAGTCTCTTGTAGATTATATAACATATACAATCAACATAAAATAAATTATAGTTATATATAATTTATTATGTATAAGTGGTGACTTGCTCTCCAAAGCATACAAATATAACAGCTTTCCATGACAATGAGCTTTTCTAGCA